AAAAAAAAAAAAAAAATGTCAGTCTCTAGAGATCAAACCATTTTTCTTCCAAATAGTATAATTTGTATCTCATTAACAATAGCCACTGTGGGTGGTGATCTTGGTAAGGTCTCAAGTTTTAAATACAACTCTTGATGAAGAAGTCTATCAGGCCAACAATTAGCCATTTCTGAATTTCTTCGAGATTTACTAACTCTCATAAGACTACAAATGTCTTAAAAGTAGGAACCCTATATTATTCATATTTGAATTGTAAACTCTGAACTGTAAATACATGAAGTTATACCTAGTTGAATTCATTTCTTCTAAAGTCATCTTTGAAGTTATTGGAACAACAATGGTACCTTGAGCAAATTATGATCTTCAACAAATTATTTACAGTCTTGGCACCTACATCTGATCTAGGAATTAGGGAAAATACAGTCTATTTCACGGCATTCAATAAAGTAGGTTATGAAGTGTTGAGCCCAAGAAGACTGCCTAAATGTGAATCAGATGCTGCTCATTCCATTTGTCAGAACTATTTCTTCATGCTGCTTTTAAAGCTGGAGCCCGATTCTTCTGAACCTTCTCAATGGTGGCAGATCATTGACATTTATTTGAGGGTGGGATTAATTTGCAGAAACAGATAGAAAAGTTGACTTCTACTAAAGTAGTTATTAAAGCAGAAGACATACTTTAGTCAAAAGAGGTAGAACTAAAAAACAATGAGAAAAATCTTGAATAATTTATAATTACTTCCTAAGGCAACTTTTAATAAATAGTTTAAGAAATAATTTGGGCAATGTGGAATCACTGGAACAGGTAAGCAATCTTTGCATGTGGGTTCTTAGAAAACTACCATTCTGCATGTTTTAACTTAGTATAGCTTAAACCATCATTCTCCCTAGTTTATAGTCAAATTACAAGGAGATTGTAAAAGAAAAAGGTTACTTAAGGCTGTATTTTCAAACCTTGCTCATCATAGACTTGGTATGTTGTATCATCTGCAAAAGAGAGAATAGAACCAAATTAAGTATTAAATGAGTCATTCTGCATAACTGCTTAGCTAAAATAAAAAAATACAACTTAATCTCAAACACCAAATTCTATTCCTCTGAACATTACTGTCTGCAGTCAGTTATTAATGTGTCTGCCCAAAAACGGCTAAAGAAATGGCAGGTGTTTTTACAAAATTCCTCAAATTGGCCCAATGAAGATATACAGAAGTAGCACAAGGCACTAACATCTGGTTTTGTGGTAGAGGCAGTGGTAGATGAAGTGAAATATGAAAGCCTGAAATTTTCCTAGTAGTACCATTTTGTTATAAGGCAAAAAGTCACTTTCAAATTATTTCTTTTGCTCCTTTAAAAGAAAAACTACCATGGAAACTTATTACTGCAGTTGAAAACCCTAAATTCTATTTTAAGTTAAAAATACACATATTCATTTAAGGAGGCCAGGTCACGTAGTCATTAAAGCCATAAGCTGCCACCTCAAAGTTTAGCGGTTCAAACCGACTAACCACTCCCTTTTCCAGCCCACTGGGCAATTGCACTCTATCCTATAGGGTCACTATGATTTGGAATTGATGTCACAGCATGGACATTTTTTGTGTGAGTGTCTGGGTTTTTTTTTTTTTTTTTTTATTTTTTTTTAATACCTGCATCATGGTGCAACCTTTCATCATCTACTACTGGTTCACTGGAATCTAAAAAAAAAAAAAAAATTATCAGACACTATTCATAAGAATCACACATTTCTGATCCTTGTAACTATGTAAGGAATATTCTTTAATCCTTTTTTTAAAACTTAAAATGAGTAAAGTTCCATAACTCTATGTCACAAAGAAAACAGATCTAGGATTTGCACCTACTCTGTCTCTGCTACATTATACTGCCCATGTCACAAAGAAAACAGATCTAGGATTTGCACCTACTCTATCTCTGCTACATTATACTGCCCTTTAACTTCCAAATATTCTTTCCAGCATCCTACCTACAAAGACCAAACTCCCATTGGCAGTTTGAGAAACATATCTCTTTTTTTCCTTCACCTCACCATGCAGTATTAAACTATTATTCAGAAACTATTATAAATACCGGAATAATCAAAATGATTATAAGTACTATAAAGAGATCTCCATGCTGAATCAGAGTGAAAAGTCAACCGTGGGTTATAATGGCCTTAGCCACAGTCTCAAGTAGAAACAGGTGTCAATTCTGTTAACATTTACAAACCTGGATTTTCCTGTTCAGATATCATCTCTTCCGTGCCCTGATTATCATCCTGTTGAGCTAAAAATTAGGAAATTACAAACACAGTTCAAATAAGAAAAAAATATAATTGATATTCAAAACAGGAAAAGTAAAAAATTTCTAGTAATAATAGGAATGCAAAATAAAATTATAATGATGTTCTAATTTACATTCCCTCGTGGAACATATAAGTACTAAATATGCTAAAGTGAAGTATACCGATGAATATGACCATCCCCATCATCAACAGGTTGATACTCTAACCACAAAACAGTGTAGTTCAGTTCTCGTTTAGCTTACACAAATTCGACTATATCCAGCCAAGCAAAACTGAGAGAGAGAACAGTGCTGGTGGGTCCTCCTATCACTCAACAACCAGATGCCACTGAGAGCCCTGAATGAGAATGCACTTACCTTCTATCCCTCACTGGGACTTAATAGCTAAATAAGTCCCTGTGGTATTACTCCTTAGGTGGAATATAATTCTAGTTGTTTACAGACATGTACTTTTGAAAAAAATATAGGTCATAAGTGCTAGCCAATTATATTATGTGGTTCTCAAGCCTGGAAATAATTATCTAGTCCAATTCTGGAAGAAAAACTGGCCAACACGGTACAGGTATGACGAAAGATGATATATTAATCTCCAATGTGGCTATATCACCTCCAGGGATGCAAGACAACACACAATTGTGACCTTTCACTGACTTTGTTGTTTGACGCTACAAAACATGCAATTACACTATACCTTTTGACCTAGTAATCCCATTATTAGGAATTTACCCTTAGGAAGAAGAATTAAAAGTACAAAAACTATACTTACAAAAATTTTACAACATATATATGCACTCTTACACAAAAAGACTCATTCTAATCAATGAAGAATAGTACGTAAGTCTCACCTGTCTCTTCCATGTGGTAACTCTCCTCAGTTTCTGAAAAAATAACATTAATATCGATATGACTATTTTTATAAAATGGTACATACATATATATTGTACATGTATATTTTACATCTATGTTTATCATTATTGTTATTTTTAAAGCAAACATTAAAATAAAACATGAAAATATCATGTAAGTCTACTAAACTACTTTATCTTTCCTTAGAACTACATTTTGTAATGTCTCACATATTCTCTTATTTCATGCACTCAACAACTCACAAGGTTGATAAATACCATTAAATCTGCTGAAAAGAGAGAGGCTGGTTTATTTAGAGTAGCACAAAGGCTGGGCCTAGCAAAGGTGCTAATTTTCAGTCCAGTTCACATTCCAACATGGTGTTCTATTTTCTAGACCACAGTCTGTAGATGGGAAGCACAAAGGAAGAAAGGAGGAGACTCTGTAAGTTTGGGGCCGGAAAGGTAAATGTGCTGGTAACTTCACCCATATCCTCCCAATGGCAAAAATGCTACAACGAGGAGGGGATAGAATGGCAAACTTTCTGTTATATATATTTTACTGTTTTTAAGAAAAGTCCCACAGCCACATGATCCTGCTTGCTCTTATGATCTTTGCTAATCGCATTCAGCAGACAGCTGAAGAAGGCCCTGGTAGCACAGTGGTTAAAACACTTGGCTGCGAACTGAAAGTCCATCAGTTGAAAACCACTAGCTGTTCCACAGGAGAAAGATGAGGTGGTCTGCCATAAAGATTACAGCCTTGGGAACCCTATGGAACAGTTCTTCCCTGTCTTACATGGCTGCTATGAGTCAGGATCAACTTGATGGCAATGGATCTATAAAGCTGAATTTTTTTTTCCCCCTGATTTCTATCCCCAACCCTAACCTACTCTCCTCCCCTCCCTTCCCTAAATTGAAATATTTTTAATTTCTGAAGACTTTTGACAAGCAACTTTTAAGTTCAAACTGATGCTGTTCCAATAAAAAATTAGACCAGAAGATAAGGTTTCTTCAAATATATGAACTTCTGAGAAGCGTTTCTTTATAGCCCTTATCTATAACTTCTAACTTCAAGAATGTCAAATTCCTCATGTTTTTCTGATGATTTGAGTGTCTTCACCACAGAAGTATACTTAAGTACATAATCAGCATCTATGATACCACAATTCTGACCAACTGTCAGTGTTGCAGGAGCTCTGGTGGCGTAGTGCCTAAGTCACTTGACTGCTAACCAGAAGGCTGGTGGTTCAAACCCACCAGCCCCTCCTTGGAAGGAAGGTTGGACAATCGACCTCAGTAGTGACACCATGTTGGAAACCCAAGGAGGGGTCACTATGAGTCAGATCCAACTTGTCGGCAATGAGGTTTTTTTTTTTGTTTGTTTGTTTGTTTTTTGTCAGTGTTGCAGAGTCACCTGGCTACAGATAGGAGCAGGCAGGAAGCATCAGGGACACACATTAATTAGCATCCTTACTCAGAAATTAGAAACATTTCTCCCATAGAAATCATGATATGGATGATTGCTTAAGTTATACAAATGCCTATTTTCAACGCAAAAAGTCCTGAAATCAAATACATTTTCAAAAACATTTTGTTTGTATTTTTCACAGAAAATGATGCATTATATACAATTCTGTAGGTTGATAGGGGAACCAATCATCATTGATACCATTATTTCTGTGGAAAGTGCATCTCCTGCTCTAAACAGGCAAGAATACGAGCTTTGGCAAAAAGTCCATTCATAAGTTAGAGTCTACTTGCTTCAAAAATAATTTTGGAAATTATTATATTGTCAGAGCTAGGAATATTTTATTTTCATTACTTTTATGTTTTAAAAGGGAGCCCTGGTACCATAGTGCCTAAGGTATTTGATTGCTAACCAAAAGGCTGGCGGTTCAAATCCACCAGCCACTCCTCAGAAGGAAACTGGGTAATCAACTTCCGTAGAGATACTGCCTCAGAAACCCAAGAAGGAGTCATTGTGAGTCGGAACTGATTGGAAAAGTCCTTGCACACAGGGAAGAGGTAACTATGGGGAGGAAGTGGGAAGAGAACTGTTGTGTTGTGGGAAATGTAGTCAATGTCATGAAACAAAGTGAATGTGAACTGCTGTATGGAAAATTAATTTGTTCTGTAAAATATCACCCAAATCACAATGAAAAGTTAAAAAAAAAGTCCTTGCAACCACTTAGCAGATATAGAAGGCTAACCCCTCTACTCAATTCTTAATGGGGAGAGGCTCTGGGGAGCTCCACCTGATTCTCTCTGGCTCTGAGCACAAAGCCATTCATCGACTGTGTGCGTGAGCTACATGGAAAAATAAAATCGAACAGCTACTCTTTTTCTCAACTTTGGCTGCACTTGACAATGCTCTCTGACCACCACAGAATACAACGAGCAATTAGTAAGAGACATTTAGGCCACTATTATCCTGATATTAAAACCAGACAAAGATATTACAAGGAAACTACAGACCAATATGCCTTATAACCACAGATACAAAAATCCTTAACATTTTAGCAAATCAAATCCACCAATAAAGGATACTGTACTACATCCAAGCAGGGTTTATCCCTATTCTCTTGGTCTATGATGGATACAAGTGAAGAATTTTTAAAAGCTCTCCAGGTGATCTTAATTGCATCTAAGACTGAAACTATTTGTAGGGATATCAGTTCATCTCGGGAGCTATGGTGGTGTAGTGCCTAAGGAATTAGACTGCTAATCAGAAGGCTGGTGGTATATCACATTCACAAGAGATTCTAGCTCTATGGCTTTAGATCTTCCTACCTTCACTAGCACTATGGGTTTGGATCTACAGCCTATTTATCATAGTTCTGTCTACTGCTCTGGACTTGATGTAGTCCTAGCTAATCTTGGAACCCAGTCAGGCATTGTGTGTCTAGACACTTCACTCCTTGTGGTCATGATATTGAAGAAGTCTTGAGGTAATTCGATGGTATACTCTGATGATTATTATATGGTGGAACATAACATGGTATTTCTGTGTTCCATCAATGTTTCCCCAGTTCCAGCATGGAAACTGTTTTCTTTCATTACTTTTCAGAACTGAAACACCTACCTTAAATAAGCACTATTTCATTAGTACTTATTTCAAATATAAAATTATATAAAGTAATGTACTTTTTATATATTTTAAAGAAAGGACTACTTTAAGGTAAAAGGAGAAAGAATGATACCATAAAAACCAAGCATGTGTAGTTAATTTGACAGGGCTTCATATCAGAGATAGTATCACATTTTTAACCACAGCAGAATCCAAAATACATGAATAAAGGGTTTTTTTATCAACACAGGAATTACTTGTCTCTATCTTAACAGGGGGAGCTCTGATAGCACAGTGCCTAAGGCACTTGACTGCTAACCAGAAGGCTGGTGGTTCAAACCCACCAGCCACTCCTCGGAAGGAAGGTTGGGCAATCTACTTCCGTAGTGATACTGCCTCGGAAACCCAAGGAGGGGTCGCAATGAGTCGGGTCCGACTCCATGGCACATAACAACAACGACATCTTAATACGGAATCTACCTTTCTGTAACAGTAACTCTAGCTTGCCTAATGCAAATGGGCTAAGGTAACTATTCAAGTAATACTTAAATAAACAGCATTTAATTTTAAATGTTGATATATTGATATAGAATTGTTGTTGTTATGTGCCGTTGAGTCAAACCTGACTCATAGCGACCCCTCCTTGGGTTTCCAAGGCAATATCACTACGGAAGTAGGATTGCCCAACCTTCCTTCCGAGGAGTGGCTGGTGGGTTTGAACCGCCAGCCGTCTGGTTAGCAAGGAAGTGTCTTAGTCACTATGCTACCAGAGCTCCATTGATATAGAATAGGTACCAGCAAACTATGATAAATGGCCCCAAACCAACTACCTCCCATTTTTGTAAACAAATTTTACAAGAACACAGCCACACTCACTCATTTAAATATTGTCTATGGTGGCTTCTATACTGCAATGACAGAAGTGAGATTGTATGGCCTACAATGCCTAAAATAATTATTATCTGTTTTTTTTTTTTTTTTTTACAGAAAAAGTTTACTGATGTCTGGTATATAAGCTAAGAATTTTGTTCTACCCTTTATAGTTAGAGTCATATCAAAACAAGAATCTGTGATAAATTATTAAGTCAAATGTTCCACAAGCTGTTTGAAATTTCTTGTAACAAGTGGCACCCTAGGAAGGAGATTATAGTAAAAGTAATTTGCTGAAGTATTTCACTTACTTTCTGGAAGACATTTATATATTCTGAGAGTTTCCATTAAACTACTTTGACTCATAATTAGACTATTTATTTTAAGAAAAAAATCTTTCAATTGATGTTTTTAGCTTCAACTTAAAAAATGTTTTAAATATTGATGTTAAAAGTGTTCAAGAAAAATTTCAGTAATTCTAATTACAAATTGCCCACTGTATTTTATAGCTGAAACCAAACAAGTTGTTCTACCTTCATGAAATGTTTCAGTTTCCAGGTTCTCAAATTTCTCCTCTACATCATTTCCTGTAAGGAAATCTTCATCTTCCAGTTCCTGATCTCTTGCTGGTGCATCCTCTTCTTGATGCAGGTCCTCCCCTTTAAAGACAATAATTAAACAAAAGAACAGCTGTCTGAGTTATCAAAATATACACATAAGCTTCTCTAGAATGGTTGCCACATGATCCCTTCTGCAGTAGGAGGGGAATGTCCTCACCCAATTCAGGCCACTGCAGAATGCTGCTGCCCACTCCCAAGCTATTTCTCACTCTGGCCAAGTGCTAGTCCGTCTCAAAAGGGGATAGGTCCTTACTTGCTAGACTGTGAACTCCTGAAGGACTTCCTATCTTTTGTCTACTATTATATTCCCAGCACTGAGGACCATGCCTAGCCACAGGAAGTGTTCAATAAACATTTGATGAATGAATAAACAAGTTTATCATTATTAATACATCTGCCTCTTCAATTATCACTGAGATAATGGCATAAATTTCATGTAACAACTTCAAATGACTATGCAAATGTTCTGTAACAAAGAACAGCTAACGGCCTATCTAAACGGTATTCTAGGTTACGGATTTACCTGTATTATACTGGGCACTCAAAGGCTTCTCCTATGCTTTGTCTTTAAGTTGTGCAAAGATGCCCATTTTCTCCTCTAAGAGGAACTTTATGATACACTGGGCTGTTCTGCTTCTTTTGTGTACTTGTTAGACATGCCACATTATTCCCCTGTAATATGGTTTAGTTTGTCACACTGCTGTTAAGAATTCTCCCAAGAACAACTTGATATAGCTTCAGTGTCTTCTTTATGTTGTAAGAACTAAATTGAACTGTGCTTAGACATGCAGGACCACAGAGTATTCAGAAGCATGGGATCTGGTATGTGTGGCTCTAAATCCAGGCTCTTCCACACACCCACTGTGTGACTCTGGCAAAGTAACTAAACTGCTCTGTGTCTAAGATTTTTCTTGCATAACACAGGAATGAGAATAGTACTTACACCAAAAATGGGCATCTTTGCATAACTTAAAGACATTGCTATATAGCAATGCTGTGAGAATTAAAGAACTTAGAAAAATACTTGGCCCATTATAAGTATTCAAGTATTATTACTACTACAATTATTGTAATCACAGTACTTTTATTATTTCTACTATGACTGAATTTTCCCCATAGACCACAGTTTTCCTTAGTTACTCTACCTTCAGTATGGCAGGCAGAGTGATGCCCCCAGGTGTTACTGAATTATGTAGGCTTATTCATGCCTACGGGAGCTCTGGTAGCGCAGTGCCTAAGGCACTTGACTGCTAACCAGAAGGCTGACAGTTCAAACCCACCAGCCACTCTTCGGAAGGAAGGTTGGGCAATTTAATTCCCTAGAGATACCACCTAGGAAACCCAAGGAGGGGTCGCTATGAGTCGGGGCCGACTGGACAGCACATTACAACACATTCATGCCTACACTCTTTGTTTCTGTCATCTCATCATAGCTGTGCTGTGCTGCTGCTTCTCATTTCAGAGTTTCTGGTCTCAATAAACTAGTCACCCATATGATTCCTATCACTAATTTTACTACTCTTTTACTCTTGCCATAATCATTTTCCTGGACTTTCCTTTTACTCTGTCCAGCAGAATGTTATGCTTTGACATTAGCAGTCATGCCAAATCTTGTTCACTATTGTATTCTCAGCTCCCTAGCCATCACTGTTCAATAAAAAGTCAATTTTCAGTAGGAAAATCAATCAAATATGGTACATTACCTTTGAGTTTCCATTGTCCAATCAGGGCAGTATATGATGAAAAGAAAACAGTTCACCTTTCCCAAGGGCTTACTAGGCCCAAGACATTGCCAAGTCCCTATATCCACTACACCAATGACATGAGATAGCTACTATTAGCTCACTGATAGATGAAGAAATTGGGAGAGTCTGCTAAGGTCACACAGCTAATAAATGGCAGATACAGGATGCGAACCCAGAAATGCAATACACAATCATGGAAGGAGAAGATTATGTTAGAGACAGTGGTCAGGGAGGCCAGGTTTAGGCTAATGAGATGTGAAGATCAGGAAGAAGCATGTGGCAGGCAGAAGATACAAGAGCAAAGGTCCTGAGGTAGCAACAGAGTTGGCAATTATAAGAAAAGGCCAGTTGAGCTAGAGAAAGTAATTGAGGGGGAGAAACAGACTGGGAATAGATAAGGCACAACTGGACAGGAGGACGTGTCAAACATGGATTACAGAGGTGCAAGGATGGGAACGGGGAGACTTGACTGTGATGATGGCTGATGCACTGCATATGTAGGGTATGTGCTGGAGACAAAGTTGGTATGACTTGTTGACAAACTGTGAAGAGTGTAGAAGACAGAAAAGTAAGGAAAATTCCCAGATTGTCTTAAAATTAAATTCCCAGTTAGTCTTAAATAACTGAGTGGGCAAGTGAGGTCTTTAACTAAAATATAGAAGACATGGTTAAGATCAAAGGTTTTGTGTGGACAGGAAAGGAACTGTAAGATGCTTCTGTAAATATTATAGCCTTGGAAACTCTATGGAGCAGTTCTCCTCTGTCCTATATGGTCACTATCAGTGAGTCAGAATCAACTTGCTGGCCACAGGATTCTTCATGCATCATTAATTTTTATTTTTGTTATTCACTTATTCCTACCATTGCCTTATTAGATTTATATAATAAGTTCCTTCAGAATGAGACAGGGTATTGTTGTTGTTGTTGTTATGCGCCGTATAGATGAAATAAATCTAGTACTATTTCAGAAATAATATTTATCCTCTAATAATGTGGACACATTGCACTGGGCAAATCTGCTGCAAAAGACCACAAAGTGTTAAAAAGCAAAGACGTCATTTTCAAGACCAAGATTCATCTGACCCCAAAAATGGTATTTTCAATTGCCTCATATGTATGTGAAAGCTGGACAGTGAATAAGGGCCAATGAAAAAGAATTGATGCATTTGAATTATGGTGCTGGCAAAGTATACTGCATGTACCATGGACTACCAGAAGAACGGACAAATCTGTCTTGGAGGAAGTACAGCCAGAATGCTCCTTAGATGTGAAGATGGTGAGATTTCATCTCACCTAACTTTGGCATTTCATGAGGAGGGACCAGCCCCTGGAGAAGGACATCATGCTTGGTAAAGCAGAGGGGTCAGCAAGAAAGAAGACCCTCGACAGCACAGATGGACACAGTGGGTGTAATAACAGGCTCAAAAATAGCAATAACTGTAAGGATGGGATGGAACTGGGAAGCGTTTTATGCGTTGGAACGGACTCAAGAGCATCTAACAACTTTGAATAAAAAGTGAAAGACAACCAATGAAATACTGAAGTAACATTTAAGCTTAAAAATAACGTTCAAGTTGACTTATGTAACTTAACATTATTTTAGCAACTCATGACAAAACAGACTTTAATTCATACCATGTTCTGTATGTACCGTTTCATGGAGAAGGGACTGAATTTGTTCCTTTACTTCATCTTCGATATTCTGGGACTCTAAAATAATTACAAAACATAACTAAATAGAAAAATTTCAACATTAATTTCAACACAATTTTCAATGACAATAGGATATTCATGTATACAAATTAAATGAATATATGTGGCTAATCAACTATGCATTCTTTTCATATTAGCTTAACTTTGTTTTTCTATATTGGCAAGTATGATGGATAATTTTCAATTGGATCTACTTTGTCAGCAAATATAAATGTTACATGACTTCTCCATAAGATTTTTAAAAAGAGAAAACTAATTTGGGTTCAGATCTTCCTTAAAAAAAAAGTCTCACACAGAGAAAAATCACTTTAGTCAATCTTCAATAATTAGCATAATTCAAGATCATGACAGAATAACAGAAGTGTTAATGATTAATAATAACAAACCTATACTGAATGTTTTCAATGTTCAATTAGTGGTCCCACATTAAGGACAGTAAATACCTAAATCGAACTTTTAAAAAATATTTTTCTTCAAAACAGCAATAATATAAATGTTTACTTTATAAATGTTAACATAGAAGGACAAAATTTTCACAAGAGAAGTATGGGAAATAAAGATAACAAATGAGGAAGACAATGTCAGCATACAGTAAAATATGTGGTCATTGACAGTCAGCAGGAAGCCTCACCTAACTAGTCTACTGATATGGGAGGATGGTCAAGGTGGAATGAAAAAAATCCACAAATTGTTAAGAAGCATGAGTAGAAAATTATAACTTTTATCATTGGAAAATCTCCTCTAACCGGAAAGTCGATGTTGTTGTTGTTGTTATGTGCTCCTGAGTCGGACCCAACTCATAACAACCCCTCCTTGGGTTTCCGAGGTGGTATCACTACTGAAGTAGATTGCCTAACCTTCCTTCCGAGGAATGGCTGGTGGGTTTGTACCACCAGCCTTCTGGTTAGCAGTCAAGTGCTTCAGGCACTACGCTACCACAGCTCCCCTAGAAAGCCCATAGATTCAAATAAATTGGAATCACAAAAGTAAAAAACATTAACAATGACATTCTGATATGACTGTGGTACCTACCAGACTTAACTGCAGCATCAAACAATAAAGAATAAAGATGCATCTATGATTACATTGACACTATTGTATACTTTCTGTCTCATAAACATAGTCTGTATGTCCAATGAATAAAAGGAACACTAGGCTTAGTATTATAAATGCTTTCATATGAAATAATGCCAGTGATATTAGTTATGTTGAAAGTTAATCTTTATCAACAAAAATAGAATAATATGAACTTCTGGCAGGAAAGTAATTTAAACATAGCATCTGTTGTGTTAATTTAATTACAAGACAAAGTTTCTAAAGTACAAATAATGCCTTATATTTTTGCAGATGTTTGTATTTCACTAATCAGTTTTATATAATTCTAACATTATAGAAGAGTTTGCCAGTCTCTATCTCTCCCTCAGTATCTCTCACAATGCCTATGATCACCTACCTCCTAACTGGACTCCCAGTTATACAACTGCTGACAGTACCTGTTCAGTGAATGCAACGTGAGTTATGCAACACTCGGGGGAAGAGTACACTTGGCTGCTTTGCTAAAACCATAAATAATGGCTTCCTTTGTTCTAATAGATCAAACTCAAGTTCCTTGGAACAGAATGTAAAATCTACACAATCTAGCCTTCATATGTTTCCATAATCATCTGCTTCCAACATTCACTTTGAACCTGGTGAACAGACTAGGCTGCTTTGTTGTTCCATGATTTTGTTAATGCTTTTCCTTTCTCCTGGTAGGGAGGCATAAGCCAGACTACAAGGGGTTAAAGAGTGAATGGAAAATAAGTGAAAAATACAAGTGTAGAATCTTCTTTCAAAAGTTTGGCTGGCACAGTGAGGAGAGGGACTGCAAAGCAGAGAGAAACAAATGTAGGTGTCACAAGAGGTTTTATTTAAATGGGACAAGTAATTATGTTTATACAGTAGGTGGACCAAGTCACAGAAGAGAGAGAAATTAAAGACCTAGATAAGAGAAAGTTGAGAAGACAGTATTTAAACCAAAACAAATATTATGAAGAAGTTAAGAATGATATAAGCTGAAAATAAACTGACAGATTAGTGGAATATGTCCACAATAATTTTCAGAGAGTAATATTAACAACAACAAAAAAAAAAGTGGAAAACAAATTGTAAGGCTTTTCATTGTAGGTATGTTACCTTCGGAAAATTTCTATACAAGATTTTTAAATTATAAATTTATTTGCTGTGAAGTAAAATTTGAGGCACTAAATCAGAATACACATTTAAATTATAAGTTAAAGAAAAAAAATAACTTCAATTTCCAGCGCCACGGTAAGATTATAGTAATTCTACAGGAATGGGAGAGACAGTATATTCTTCTGAGATTAAAACTGGAATAAATAAAAATCAGAGCAACAGAGTGATCTTAGAAGGAAATGAAGAAAAGCAAATATTCATGAGCTCAGTGATAAAACCAACCAAACTACTTTTTGGATATAGTATTTAAAATTGCCAGTAAATATGTAGTATTGTACCTAAACCTTCCAATAGGTGGCAGAATGAAATCATATTTCTTGAGTACTGAGTAAATGAAAATTTTGCAGAAACTAAATATTAATTTATAATAAATTGTGGTTGTTGTTGCTATGTGCCGTGGAGTTGGACCCGACTCATAGCGACCCCTCCTTGGGTTTCCGAGGCAGTATCATTACGGAAGTAGATTGCCCCATCTTCCTTCCAAGGACTGGCTGGCAGGTTTGAACCGCCAGCCTTCTGGTTAGCAGTGAAATGCCTTAGACACGATCTATTTTTACTTTTCAATGCAATATGGCACAGCAGTGCTAGAACAACTGAGAAACAGCACTCTTAGTTCACAATGTTCCTATAAGTAAGATCTAGGGCAGGGAAATCTGTACCTTGGCTTCTTTATCTCAAAAATTAAAATTACTCAGTGTAAATCTTTACTAGAAAAAAAAATGTGCCACTCACTATAAAACTCAAGCAGAGAAGAAAAAGTAATTCATTATTCTGTAAAAAATGTGAACAAATTCTGGGTAGCACATTCTGAAAACTAAATACAATTGCTATTGGGTGAAGGCATTCCTGTTAGAACAAAGGACAGCTTACCTGCCTCAGAGGGTGCCTGCTCCCCGTGCACTTCATGTGGCTCCAACTCTTCCAATGGTACTTTTGGCTCTGAGGCAGATCTTTCCTTAAGTCCTGCATTTTGTATTCACAAAATTAACTTAAGCTTTCTTTCTTTTTTTTTTTTTTTAAGCACATTAAACCAGGAAAAATAATATTCTCATTTATCAATAATTCTTCTGAGTAATCCAGTTTCCAATGCCAAAAACTATATGAAAAAGTTTAAATGCCTAATTACACGTAAAGTACAAAAATAATTTAACTTCATGTAGGCCTTTAGTATCACTTTATCTAGGTTAATCTTTGGTATAACAAATAAAACGAGTATCATTGCTTAAATATTCATCTCTGTAGTCGTGTCTGTACCTGCCAAGAGAAGGTCATTATGAGTTTAAACTCTCTTATTTTTAAGTATCTGATTAAGTGGCTAATTAATTCCCATCCTAAAGTCTAAATACAGTACTAAAAGGAAGATGGACCTAAGCTTTTTATTGTTAATTCTTGCACCCTCCCTCTTCTGATTTCTATTACTGAAAACAAGTAGAAAGCATACCACCTAGAATCATATAAGGGAAACACTGTTATTCCATAACAGCTAAAAGATATGACAAAAAAACTCCCTTTAATTCTTAAGTAAGTAAGACATCATGGTAAATTAACATGAAAGTTAATTTTAAAGTCAATCCAAGTCTAAGATTTATCATACTAAGTTAGTTCTTTTGTGTTTTATGTGTAGAATGTTAGACCATATCTTCAATTAAATGTAACTATTTAGAAAACTGTTATGTGACGTCGAGTAGGACGCATCTCATAGCCACCCCTCCTTGGGTTTCCGAGGAGTTATCACTACGGAAGTAGATTGCCCAACCCTCCTTCCGAGGAGTGGCTGATGGGTTTAAATTGCCTGTCTTCTGGTTAGCAGTCAAGTGCCCTAAGCACTAGGCTACCAGACCTCCCTTTAGAAAACTAAGCTAGGTTTAAGAGCCTGATGATTCCATTTACTGAATCCAGGGGTTCTTCCCTTCTTATTGAAAACCCAGTTACTAATGGCATATCAACAGATTTGAGTGAAAAGGTCAAGACAGAATTGAGAGGCAGTTTTCTTAAGTACCTTTCTGTATCTCTTCCTTTACATATATACTTTAGTTTGAAATTTTTCTCATTTCAATGTCTTTTACTCAATTCTATTTTTCCCTATTATTCCCTTTTCTACACCCTATCATTACTCCCTGATTAGTATGCTGCTCTGTTCTCCCAAATCCCATAAAGATACTGGACCCCACATCATTTACGTTTCCTCTAGTGTTATTTCCAACACTACTTCCACACAAAAGCCAACACAAACATCAACACATTTATGTTTTGTACCTCTAAGTGATTTCTAACTATAGATTCCAAAGAGAATGTACACAAATACCCATAGATTCTTTTGTAGTTGAGTTTTAGACTAGGGACAAAAGCCTATTAAAACATTCTATTTTGAATTCCATATTCTAGGCTGAAAAATAACTATCCTACCCTTTCCTGTGATACTGCCTCGGAAACCCAAGGAGGTGTTGCTATGAGTCAGGTCTGACTGGACAGCATGTAGCAACAACAACAACCCTTTTCTGTTTAAATACAAGCAGTCCTCAGGGAAAGAGTCTGATTTACAAACAATTTCTACTTGCTTTTTAATGTTATGTAAATTTGCCCTCACTTAGAAAAAACTGAACGAACCAGTATTCCTAAGAACTTTATCTTCCCTTGCTGCACATGCAGCTTTTAAATCATTGAAAGGGCTTCAGGCCTTTTTCTTACACTGAAGTGAGGCTAAATAAGAGCTGTATGCACCTGTTCCAACTAACCTACTAATTCTTAAAGACACAGTTAGAAATGGATCTCGTTCGTACCCCAGGGACTGCCTGTAATCCATTTTTACATGATTCAACTATTAATAGATGGGCATGGAACTGTCTATTGCCATATTCTGTTGAATGAATACAAGCAAACCAAACTCACTGCCATCAAGTCAATTCTGACTTACAGTGACCCCCTTTGGGTTTCCAAGCCATAAATCTTTCCAGAAATAGATTGCCCAGTCTTCCTTCTGTGGAATGCTGGTGGGTCTGAAGCACCAACCTTCTGGTTAGTAGTCAAATGCCTTAGTAAGCACTATGACACCAGAGCTCCTTGTTGAATGAATAGTGTAAACCTCATAAATCTAATAATAATTAACTAATTTATCATTGCACTCTTAGTATGTAACAGCTGGCACATACTCACTCACTCAATCATTGCCATAGAGTCAATTCTGACTCACAGCAACTCCTCTTGGGTTTCCGAAGAGGTATCTCTATGGAAGTAGATAACCCAATCTTCCTTCCGCAGAGTGGCTGGTGGGTTTGAACTTCCAGACTTCTTGTTAGCAGTCAAATGCCTTAGGCACCACACCACCACTTGACAGGGTTATTGTTGTTGCTGTTATGTGCCGTCAAGTCGAACCCTACTCATAGCGACCCCTCCTTGGGTTTCCGAGGCAGTATCACTATGGAAGTAGATTGCCCCATCTTCCTTCCAAGGAGTGGCTGGTGGGTTTGAACCACCAGCCCTCTGGTTAACAGTCAAGTGCCTTAGGCACTACGCTACCACATCCAATGATGAGCGCTCTGTTTTAATCTAAATGGAAGCACAGTCCTATAGGGCTGGGGCTCAGGAGCTGCATGAGTGAGTCAGGGCTGTAGAGATGGGGCACGGGACTCACATCACTTTCTCAACTACTAACATCAACAAAATTCATCTCTCTGCTCCAGCACCCACCATCACAGTACCATGATCTCACTTCCCTGGGTCACTTCCACTTTATGTGTGTTGTTCTGTGTAATTATTTCACACTCAAAAGTGCCTCAGTCTGGATGAAAAATGACCTGGTCATCCCTCACTAATCCTGTATACAGCAGGCTTTCAAACTGTGAAGGTGTTTCAAGGGTTCAGTAGATAAAGGAAATGTTGTACCACTGAACAATAAAGATTTAAACTGCCTGAAATCCCTACTGTTACTGGATTTTGAGAAATGTTTCATTTGAAAAAGAAGTTCCAAAAGTGTTTGAAACTATTAGTAAGTGGGCATCAATAGACAATGTCTCAATGTCAGCTTTCCCTGCATCAAATGGAGATTACTGGTCTTCAAAATTTAGACAGTAAAATATACTAAGAGAAAGCAAAAGCATTTAACAGGAGAAAATACTGAGCAGTTCTCTTTTCTGTCCAAATTGGCAGTGAATTCCTTATTGATAGCTGGTCACAGTTATTTCAAATGAATCAGTGCAAAATTAAATGACATTGCAGACTTCAGAGAAGCTAAGGATTGCAATACCACATCCCTTTCTCTAGATTGATAAAAACTTTTTAAAATTAAACAAAACATATTCTGGACTAATTCTTATTCCTTTAATAACCCATCATATGGAAGATTACTCCTGCAAGCTTCATTGTAGTGGTCCCAAAAAACTTTTCTGTCACCCAAATTCATTTTGATCCATGAATTAAGTGTCCCCCACCAAACAGTGGTAAAGGCAAGTCTCATATAAGCTTTGAGGTAAATAAATAAATAAGCAAATATTAAGAAAAATGCACACATAAAAGGTCAGTTCACAATAAATAGAAAGGTTTTCAAATAGCATTTATTATGGACACAAATGCCAAGGAGTAGCATTGAAATAAGTATCTAAAATTATGAAATGAGATGTACCAGTTTTGTTACGCAAGGGTTTGCATGTAACAGAACATCCATTCACAATGGCTTGAGCAATAAGGAAATTTATTATCTAACTGAACACATAGTGCAGGCTGGCTTGATCTCAGCACTGGCTTCATCCTTTGGCCAGTAGAGCAGCTACAAGCTTCTCTGAACAGAGAAGATGATGTCCATGAGCAAAAGGACCACCCCTTACTTTGCTTCTTTTTAGGACTGAGCGATTCTTTCCTAGAAGCTCTCAGCAATCTTTGCTTTCAATTTCAATATTCAGAACAAGAACCCACATTCATTTCTAAACCAATCACTGACAAGAGGACCAGAATAACCACAAGTGCATGGTGTAATTATCTAATTATCTAGGGTTGAAAGAATGCTGAGTCAACCACAATGGCCACTCCATAATTTGGAAAATAAATTCCCTTAAAACATACCTTGATTTTAGTTAGTTAGGCTCATTATACCAATTAGGAAATTTTAAAATCATTTTTGTATTTAATAAATATGTAATTATTCTTCTGATTTTAATTAAAAATGGGAGAAGCTATATAAATTAAGTGAAATCAACCTTTCACAGAGAATTTGATCACCTGACACAGGTACCTTAGCCTAGTATTAACTTTCTTCATGTACTATTGCCCAACTACACTTGACCACATTCAGAAAGAATAAATGTACTTTATTTGCATAAATATGTGACAACTACCATAGCTGAACATTTACAGTTGTTGTTCCTGGCCTGTATAATCAGTATAATAAATTGCACACTACACTCATTCAACAAATACTTATTTGGCACTTACAAGCCACTGTTCCAGGTAAGGATACAGTGTAAACATACACACAAAAAGCCCTACTTTCACGGAAGGGAGCAATCAACAAAAAAAAAAAGGGAAGGAATGTGAAAATTTTATCAAATCTGATGATGATACATGCAATGCTAAAGCTGTTAAAGCAAAGATTTGGGACAGGAAGTGCCAAAGTGAGGAAAAGGAGGACAGGCTTGCTATTTAAAATCAACCAGTGAGGATACGATTCACTGATAACATCTGAATAAACTCCCAAAGGAAATCAGCATCTAGAATGTGAGCTTATCGGGAAAGAGAATTTCAGGTAAAGAAACAGCCAGTACAAAAGTCTTCAGCTAGGAGCATGTTTGGTACAAGGACCAACAAGGTGGTCAAAGCAACTGGAAGGATGAGCAAGGACATGAATGACCAGAAAGGTCCTGTGAGATGTATAAGGAAGGCCTTTACTCTTAGTGAAAACTAAGGGTTCACATTTCATAAACACAAACTGCTTCCTCAATACTACAAAGATATGCAGAGAAAATAATAATAAT